TGGCGAGGGGTGAGCGGACGCATTGAAAGCTGAGCTTGCATTCGGAGTTGATCTTCCCTACACCTGAGACCCGAAAGCTCCAAAATCCTGAGTCCAGGCGCCGATTTCTTGCCTCAAACACGATCGGGCAGGCGTCACGGAGTTAAGGGAAGGAGCGTGGTTCGCCTTTGGGTCCAGTTGCCTTTCAAAGCCTTGAGCTTGCGCAACTTGTAGATTGAAGCATCAAGATTGTGGCGTGCAGCATCAGTTGGGTCTCGTCATGTATGACTTACACGGCCGCCGCCTGTGCTTAGTTGCATGACGGAGATCTTGTGCTTCGAAGCTTGTGCTAGAACCTTCCTTGCAACAAAGGGGGTGCAAAGAGAGGGCTTCCAAAAGTTTCGGCTTGAGGGGCTTCGAGCCGAAGCACGTTCCAATTCAAGGCTGTTCCAATGCGGGATATGCTTTGCTTGGACATTGTTTGCGGTTTGGACAACTGCTGGGTTGAGCTGTCGCGGAGCTTGTCCTGGGGATGTCGCGCCTTGTGGCAGGCTCTTGCTCGTGTGCACAACAACACCTCAACCTCACAAGATGTTAGAAGGACGAAGGTCTTGTCGCGGAGGGTTTGTCGCGGAACCGACACCCTTCGGTTACAAGCTTCGTCGTGGGTTGGCCGCGCGAACTGTTACAACCCACGGCCACATACATATATGTATTCATACTTAAACTTGACGACTCATATTTGGGTGGCATCTACGGCAGGCTCTGAATTCCAGCGTTCATGAGACTCCCCTCGAGAAACCGGTGGCCTTGCATCATGAGGTCTATGACTTTCTTGACGTGGAAGGACATCTCGGAAGTTCTCCCGAGGCGCCAATGGGTCTTTAGATGCGGGGCCTTGTCGGCGGTTCGATCTCTGGGAACTTGGGAGGTTCCGATGCTGCTTCGTCACAGCTTTTTTCACTGCACAGGGCTGCTCTGAGGACTGATGCACTAGGACGTTCTGGGCCTAAAACCATGACCTGGCAGTAGATTCGTCGCGCTTGTCAGAGGCTTGCATGCTGATCTCTACGATGCCTCGAAAGCAGTACGAGGACAGGCTCCTGAATTGCAATTGCCGCTCTGCAACTGCATTGGTGCCGGAGAACCCAGAGACTCCAAAACCCCTTAATTGAGGAATATACCTTAAATCATATTCGGGTTCGTATGATAACTTAAGGTAAATTCCTGAATTAAGAGGTTTTGGAGCCTCTGGCAAATTGGGGGCCCGAATTGTATCAGGCCGGTGTGACCGAAAGCAAAGCTTGCGTCAACCCGATTATAGATTCGAACTCCCCCTGATCCCGAAAGCTACCGCCAGTGGATATCTAGCGCTACACGCTAAGCTAGACCTTCGGATATGGTTTTGACCGAGAAGTTCAGGGACTACCATTGTCGGGGTTGAGGTGTTCAAGACCCGGGGGTTCCAGTTTGCTGAAACGTTGAGGGCCGGTTTTGTGGACCCTTAACCTGGAGCTCAAGCATTCGGCATCAGAAGCCCCGAAGTGAAATGCTCTTTTTGAGAGAGCAAGCCAAAATCTAGGAGTGCCCTGCTTTCTTGGAGCATCTTTGAGCTTTTGCCAAACTTCAATTGTCGTTAGCCTCGCCTGACTTCGACAGCCTGGAGCCGGGCACCTTTTTTGAGGTCTTGTGGCCGGCCTGGAATGTTTTGCTTGGGGTGCGGAATGAGCTGTGAAGAAACGACCAAAACCTTGGCAACCCCGTAAAATCCCACAGCCACGGTCGAAAGTCAGGACCGCATGCAGACGCTGGCAGACGCTGGCTTGCAAGGCCTTTCTCATGACAAAGTCCAACGACCATAAGCCCTGTATTCACCGAAGCCTCGACACTTCCTCGCAAACCCCCGACCTCCGAAACTCTAAATAATCGGGCAGCCTAGTGGCCAACACCCACAGCCCCCGCCGCCCAGCTCCGGTCCTCTGGTTCCACTTTGATCGAATACCGCCCCCGCAGCAAGACACACAAGTACGGCCCAATGGGTTTGCGACCCTTGCCGTACAGCGCGAGTCGTAGTACCATCGACTCCGCTCGCAAAGTATGTTGTCTGGACTTGCAACCTGGTACTTTACCACACTACGTGAAAGCCGTGTAAGCAGCAGCCGTTGAAGGTGTAGGGTCGTAGGGTTGATGCGACTTTAGATGAAGTGGTGGGCCATGGGCACCGGCTATGCGGTCGGATTGATAGGATTCCCAGATGTGCCGAGGCGTTTGGGTGTTTGGGGTTGAGGCCTTCAAAGTTGGATATGTTCACAGCAGAAGGCGCTGGCCATAGATCGGCTGGACAAGGATGCAACTGCCAAAAGCCCGCAGAACGCCAGAAAGCCCCAGAAACCATTCGCGCGACCAGGCTCGTGTGCTCTGTTCCTGGAGATCGGCGGCGCATAAATGGCTCAACGCTGAGATCCGGAGTGTTTGCTAGACGAGTCTCTAGGTGCAGGCGCTCATTGGTCTCTGCAAGACCATACCGCTCTTGGAATTTGGAATGCTGGTACCTGGTAGACTCAGGCAGATGTCTGTACTCGTTCTTCTAAGTTTTGCAAGACCACCCGACGGGGTACTCTTTTGCCTCCAAGCTTAGGATTCACAGGGCCTCAACGTTCAGGTGAAAGGCAGACTCGGGTTCTGGGTTGCGGGCTCCAGCTCCAGCCTATAAAGGGGGTTTCCGAAATTAGGGGTACCTTATTGGTCCTTACGAATTAAAAGGGAATCCTACTAGTTGGGCACTCTTTTTGGAGTCCTTTAGTTTCGTAAACACCCATATTATATTGACTATTGACAGTATAGAGAACAAACACAGGCTGCCAGAAGCATTGAAGCACTATTGAAGCATTGGACTGTTAATTGGGACGTTGCCTTGCAATTTGTTTTGTAGCCCGAATTGGCTGTCAGATGCCCGTGGGGCTTGATCTGCGGGCTTGATCCAAGTCAACACACCGATTCAGGATCGGTGCTAGACTCTGCCAATCGGGAGGAACTGCATCCAACAAATTAAGGGCGGAATGGCAAAATATGACTTCAACACAGTACTGCCGATGATTTTGAGGTTGATGGCTCCTGAACTGGCACAGCTTGGTAGAACTTCTCAAAGCCTGGCCTGACGATGTCTGACCGTCGTTTCGCATGATTGACCCTGAATGGTGATGCATGACCAATGAGCACCTGGCGACGTGTCTGTCGGCGGTCACCACTGAAGGGCAGGCTCTAGGGGTGTCTGTAAGGAGGTTCTGCAAGCCTCACGAAATGGGAACAGTCTCGGCAATTGTCGTGAACACAGCAACTGCTTTAAACAATCTCAAGCCCGAGACGGCTTCCATGCTTCTGAGCCGAGGTCGCTTCGAGGAAGTGACGCCTTTCGTGACCGCTGCGCGGCTTTTGAGCTGAAGCTGTGCTGGGTGCGATATTTCCGCTCTCCATTAACGGGCACTTGCATCCCTAAACCCTGAACCCTGAACCCTAAACCCGAAAGCCTAAACCCTAAACCCTAAACCCTAAACCCTAAAGCCAAAACAGACCTGCAGACCGACGCATAATCCCGCCTCCACGCGTTGAGCATCGCCGACTAATGTGGTATCCTGATTAGTGTGGGGGCCCCCCCCCCCCCCCCCCCAAACTAAATCCACCCCCGCAATAGTGTCACCAAACAAAGGGACCCCCCCAAACTAATTTTCGGCCCCGGGCTCCCCCCACCGGCTCCTCTTCATTTCCTCTTGGCTCCCCTTCCCTCTCCTCTTGAAGCTGCTCTTCTTTTGCTCTTTTCTTTCATCATCTTGTTCTCTTTTTTCTCTCTTCCGAAACCCATGCCCGAAAAACTTTACTTTATTTTGGGGGGGCAATCGAATTTTTGTCTCCTGAATAATTTTTGGAAAACTTTTCATTATTGGAGGGGTCCAGACTAATCAGGATACGACATTATAGGGTTTAGGGTTTAGGGTGATCTACCTTGCACTTTAGCAGAATCAACAGCTAGCTAGAGATTTTCTCAGTGGGTTCCCTTCCTGACACTTGCGAGCGCCATGTTCAGACTCAAGCCTGAAGGTCAAAGCAGTATGAACTCAGAGTGCCTAGTCACCCCTCTTGTAAGCCTCAGCAAAAGATGCAAACCCCATGAACCTTGTGAAAAGCCTGCTTTAGGCCCTAGCCAGGAATCCCTACAAGCGCCCAGTAAGCGCTATTGTCTCGAAGCCAACACTGAGCACCAGCGAACAGAAGTGAACAGACGGCGCTGGGAACGGTCAGAGCAGCCTCAGATGCGAAAACTGTTGAGCCGAGGTGCGGGAGTTGCAGGGCTCAGGGCTAAAAGCTTAGACAGCTTATATGAATTTTGCAACAGCCTTATTGCAGGAACAACACTTCTCGTGAAGTACCACAATCTGCGGAACGCATCGAGCCAACGGGGGTCGTCAAAACTACGGGCTAACGGACTTTGGTTTCTGCTTTCACTTGCTGACTGATGACCCACCCCCAAATCCTTGCATAACACTACGCTTGGTCTAAGGCTGCTCAACTCCTTGCATCAAGTGCTTTAATCGGAGAGGGCTCCGGCAATGGAACCCGCGAAAAACCTGCTATGTGTTCATACAGAGCTCTAGCTTCAAGGTGTGCAGGAGCGATGTCTGCATGCCTAAGCCTCATTGGCCTCATGAAATTCCGCCATACCAGCCCTCAGCTACGCAAAAACATGTGTCAGCATCAAATCTCAGGCCTTCAGCCCTTCCCCAGACCCAGAATCACAAACCCGAGGCCCGGTGACATTCCTATTTTGAGCACATCACTTCAGGGCTGCGCTTGGCCTTGCAGTTTGAGAAGCCCAATGTAGCAGGTCAACGGAGCTTAAGAATGAAACCTAGGATATATAGAAGAACTTATTACATCTCCCCGAGAGCGCCATGGGTGATGGCGACGGAAGCTTCGACTTTCTTCAGCATCCGGACGTGCTTATCCCTCTTCCAGCTCTCCAAAGCATGGCCATGGTCAAAGCAGGCTCATTCCGTTCGGGCGTTGGGGCTTTCGGGCATCTCACTCGTGCAGAGATGTGTGATCACTCACTCCGTCGCTTTGCTTCTCATGCCGCATACGAATGGTGTGAGCTTTCAGTCTTGTCGCACCCGCAATTGGGCAGGGTTAAACGTTAGGCACCAAGCACCAGGCTTTCAACTTTGGATCTTTCGGAGCTTGCGTCTAATGCCGCTCAAGCGTCCAAACGCTGTGCCATACATCCGCTGCAGCGTTAAGCGTTTAACATTTAGGCTTCAAGGGGCAGTAGGAGATGGGGATCGTTTCTCGAAGCACGCAAGAGAGGAAGAACAAGGAGCGGTCCTTTCCCATGTCCGCCCTTTTGCTTGCCATGGTCTTGCTGTGTCTTCTTTTGCTTGTTGTTACCCACTCTTTTCTTTCTTGTTCGAGAAGATGGTGTGCCCTCTGCCCCCAAGGCCATCGGGTCTATAGTGCTTGATGTATCGATCGTGCCGTGGCACAGGAGACAATGGCTTTGAGGACGCAAAGCGAGTTGGTCTGCTGCGGATGATCATTTAGAATCCTGCAGTCTGCCTTAGCTAGGTGCAAGCTTATGCTGTGCTTCAGACACTACGACGGCATAGGAGTATGCTAGCAGGTGGTGGAGTAGCTGAACCCCAACATCCGAATTCTCGGAGTCTTTCTGGAAGAAGACAGCTTGTAGCCGAAATAGTACAACTAAGGCATATTACAATAACAATACTAATTATAATAATACAGATACATGGGCTTATAGGTCATAAACGGAGCACTCGAAAACTCCAAAAGCTTAGACCCGAAATCCCAAAGCTCCTCTCAGTCCTGCCTTTGAGAGTCAGGGTTCTGTTGTGTTTGCAATTGGAGTCTTCGAGCTCTTCGGGGTTTCGGTGCACACGGCTTTGAGCTCTTCGGATCTTAGGGAGTCAGAGCTGTGAAAGATGTCCAGGTCCTGGCCTTTCAAGCTGTAAGGGGGCGCATAACGTTCAGAGCTAAGTCACGCCGCATCCCCAAGTAGGTGTCAAGCCCTACGCCGCTGCCATCTGCTTCAGGAGGGATCTGTGGTCAATGTAACCAACACGGCGGATCAGTACGCGTATTGCGTTGCGTGGGACAACGCAAACCAGAGAGTCCAACGCGAAGGCCGTTGGGGAGTAGGTTGGCCTGTGTAGCGGCCGGGCTTCGGAGTTTCCGGAGGCTCCAGGATTACAAGATTTCCCCCGTATGTCGCTCATGGCGGCTCGCCTTGACCTCCTTAGAATTCCGACTTGCATGCCAGGAAAGCCTTTGCCTGCTGGCCTATATTGTTTACGGCAGGGCCACCGTTAAGTGGCGAACCTCACGTGATTACTCGTAGCGGCACACTGCACATGGGTCCGCATTGTCAACTTATGCTGCATGAAGCTGCTTCAAGCAAAGCCCCAAACACTAAACCCTCAACCCTAAACCCTAATTAAACGCTAAACCCTAAACCCTAAACCCTAAACCCTAAACCCTAAACCCTAAACCCTAAACCCTAAACCCTAAACCCTAAACCCTAAACCCTAAACCCTAAACCCTAACGGCAGCGGCGCCTGGGATTTATTTTGTTCGAGCAGGCTGGCTTGCACAAGCGAGCCTGCAAGAGTTGAGCTCCGCAGAGTACACGGTCGCTGCGGCATGGAGGTGCACGAATGCTTAGGGTTTAGGGTGTAGGGTTTAGGGTCTGCAACGCGGCGTGGAGGTGCACGAATCCTGCAATGAAGCCATGATGGATTTGCTTGCCTTATAAGGGGGTTTACGATATGTTAGGGGTACCTTGTTGGGGTCCTTATGATAAGAGGAACCTACTATTTTGGGGGTCTATGTTAGGGGCCTCTTATTATCGTAAACCCCATAGTGCTAAGCTGTGGGAGAGTGTGCCACCTCCACGCTTTGCAGGGCTCAAGTGCCTCCCCAGTTGGCCTGCCCTGTCGTCCTATTGCCAGGTTGCCGTTGATCGAAGTACTTCGCCACACAACCATTGCCGAAGTCATCCAGGAGCCAGAGCGTAGTAGATTCGGAGTTTCTGCAGGAGCCTCCATGTCATTTGCTACGAGCAATGCATACTTCAAGGCCTGAGGGTTCATGGGCGTGAGCGACCCATCGTATGCATGCTAAGAGTTGCCTCGCCGTGAGTGTCAGGAACCTTGTGCTGATACTGTAGGTGCGTGTCAGTTCAAGATCATTCACGTAAGCCCCCATGTACCCCAAGCCTGCCGCGGCGTCAAGTCTTAAACCTGTGCACGATGCGATTTGCTTCGCTTCTTAAAGTTGTTTGACCGGCAGTACCTGAAGGCAGCTTGCCTACTTCAGAGGATCACACACAACAAATGCACATCTGCTCGGCGGTGAAAACCTGAGGTTCTGCGCGCATACCCCTGCCCAATCCTTTTGCAACTTGAAGCCTCAGCACTCCTGATGTGCAGTCTGACCTGCACTTCATGCTTGAATTTGCAAGGATTATGCCTCGAGCAGTGCCCTCGCTGTCCAAGAAGGACTCTGCTTTCAAAAGAGCCTGTTGGGAGTTGTTGCGCAGGGGACCGGCCCTCAACTACATTGTTCAGGTGGCAGAATGATCATTCTTGAGACTTTCAGAACCCCTTTTGGGGCACGGATGCCAATGTTGGCAGGTCAAGGGAGCGTATCCTGCAACACAATGTAACTCTACGTGGCCATACTGTTACAGGGCTAGTGGACAACCGATGCACCGACGGCTCAAAACCCTTCTTTCCTCTGCAGGCGGCAGGATACCCTCCTAATTATTTAGGGTTTGGGGTTTGGGGTTTAGGGTTTAGGGGTCAGGGCATAAAAGCTGTCCATCTCTACTTCCACGGCATGTGACAAGGAACTCCAGTAGCGCTGTTTAACTTGAGGATGGGAAGCGGTCGAGATCCGGACTTCCTTTGCGGTGCAGTTGCCATTATTATGAATATTATTGTTATTATTATGATTATTATTATTACTATAATTACTCTTACTATTGTTATTGCTAATATTACTATTTTTCATTATTATTGTCATGTTTGTTTTAAATTGTTATTGGAATGATTAATATTACTATTATTTCGTATTATCATTGTTATAGTCTCTATAGCTACAAAGTGGACGACGGTCGCGACGATCACGACCCTCCGATCCCTGCGAATGTTGACACTGCTGACATGCGAGCATGATGAACAAAGCTCCGAATGAGGCGGTGGCTACCCGGATGGCAACGCCGACCACGCATGTGTGACTGTCAAGCGACAAGGATGAGAGTGTCCCAAATCGATGACCTTTTCGAGGATTGCATCAGGGCAACGACAACGTGCGGCGTGCAGTGTGTAAGGTGCCACTGTTGACATACGACTGTAAAGAAAGTTAGGATGAAGCAGACGTCGGCAACGTAGTCCGTGGAAAGCAAGCATCGCGATGGTTCCAAGAATTACCTGCAGACATCTCAGCCTGAGACTGGCACCGAACAAGAAGCGGGACAGACGAAGAGGGATAAGGAGAGGGAGATCAAGCTTGGGCGCATGAGATTCGGCACCTGGCACAGGCAACGACACAAGCAAGAAGGAGGGCAATAGCAGAGTTCGCATGCTTAGACCTCGAGCCCTGCTGAAGACTTATACCCCCATAGCCCAAAGATTCCCCATTCAGAGTGGACCCCTGGACTGCAAGGACAGTTGAACTGAAGACTTTACAAACTCTGCCCAGAGCGCGCAGGAGATCTTGTGCAGATCTCCCAGCAGGCTGATGGCTGGGCTTACGGCACTGTGCTCAAGGCCTTTCGGGGAGGAGGGAGAGAGTTGTGACAGTCTATGGCAGCTTCAAGGGCTTTACGGTACTACGGACTCTAAGACGTCTCAGATTGTTGGCCGCTTGCGTTGCTCTCACTTCCTCTCAAAAGGCAACGATGAAGGATTGCCGGCACAGATGGGCTGTGTACTTAACCAGGGGCCTGATCCCTGAATTCTGAATCAAGTGTTGCTCTGGACTCATTGAATGAAAGGAAGCAGCAAGCCACTGCCAGAGCCCCCAAAACCTTACAAGTCCTTCGTAAAGAGCTTGCCGGACTCTCACCCAGAAAATCAGGACACCTACCAGAAAGTCGAGGGCCGGCTGGAGGCTGCATAGGGTTTCGGGTTTAGGGTTTAGGGTTTAGGGTTTAGGGTTTAGGGTTTAGGGTTTAGGGTTTAGGGTCTTTTTTTCTACGGCTGCTCATGAGTAGACTGTCTTTGTGGCGTGCAGCGCACGGGACTTGAGAAGAACAGAAGAGCGGGTTTCCAGCAGCCTGTAAGCTCTCCCGGCTTCGCGAACTTGCATCCAGAATGAGCCACCACACCTTTAGTCGGCTTGCCAGCTGCCACCCTGAGCAGAGAAGTAGGGTTTAGGGTTTAGGGTGTAGGGTTGAGGGTTTAGGGTTTAGGGTTTAGGGTTTAGGGTTTGGGGAAGACCTCCAGAAGATCAAGAGCATTTCACGAGAGGGTATTGAAGAGCATTGGGCCGGACTTAAAACAGATCGGGTTGGGATGTTCCAACTTATACGAACAGTCCTAAATAGGGGTTATAATACTTATACGAACAGTCCTTTAATAGGGATTATAGTAGGAGGACTTCAACAGCTAAAGTTGAGGGTTGAATTTCCACAGGTCGGGCGTCAAAGTGGGTGGATACCCACCTTCGTCCTGAAGCCAAGACAGCCGGGGCCCGACAGTGTGTGATTTCCTGTGGACTCATGTCTGACTATCACAAAGAAGTCGTACGCTTGCGGGTGAAGTCAACTTCAGCAACTGCATGGATTGAAGACACGTTTCGCAAAATCAACAAACGCACGTGTTGATTGGAAAGCCGAAGCCCCGACGCTGCTAAGTCCCAGCGGGTATCTGCCCGCGATGAGAGCGAGTTTTTGTTTGTGGCCTCTGTTTTGTGGCCCGAAACTTTAGAGCAACTGGGAGCAAAACCGATACATCGTGGAATCCTGTAAGTTCAACCGGTGGGGGAGCCCGGGGCCTCGTTCAAACAAGTTGAAACTGGCAAGAAGATCCGACGGCAAAAGCAACTGGCTTGCTCACTAGAGTGTTGGGAGTCTGACTTTTCTTCCTTGGAAATAAAGCTTGAGACCGTGTTCGGGACTATAGCAGGATGGGCCTGAATGTGTGCGGCAGTCCTGGCGCTTGAGCCCGGGTCACGTCAGCCGCTACAGATCCGTCTAGTTTCATTGGGAGCTCTACAAGATCTCTGCTTCAAATGACAGGTCCTGCGTGAGCGACCTTTGCGCCGAGGACCGGGCAATCAATTGCAATTTCTAAGAGGGCGGTGTAGGGGGAACCCTTTGACCTTAGCAAAACCCAACAAAAAGCCCGAATCAAAACCAACCCGAAACCCTAAACCCTCTTGAACCAAGCCCAGCGCCCCCCCCCCCCCCCCCCCTACCAAGGCTAACCCCCCCGCTGCCATGCGCCGGTTTGCGGCCGGTTTAGGGTTTGGGGTTCAGGGTTTAGGGGTCAGAGGGCTTCAGCCAAGTAGCGGCGTAGCACCGTAACAGGTTGAAAGCTTGCACGAATTGCGTTATCCTCCGACAACTTTACGCTCCTTAATCTAGGCAACCTTCCTTAGCTAAGCATAAGGAATACACCTCACACCTTAAATCTTAGTCAGCGACGTTTTGGAGCATCTGCGATCCATGTCGACGATTCCATGTCGCGGCAGCTACAACCAAACCGCAAGTCCAAGCCCCAAGCCTACAAGCATGAGTTACTACGAAGCGCACCCATAGGCTCTATTGGGGCATGGCAACTTGGCCATGGGACGTAGAAATTTAGGGCACATGGGGTTTCTTAGTTGAAAGCGCTCACGACAGCTGAAGCATCCCTGAGCCATGCAACCTGGCTTTCAGGAGCAGCAGCAAGGTAGTAGACAACAAAAACGGAGTGATGAGGCAGTTCGGACCTCATCACGGCTTGCCTCAGGGCTTCTTGATTCAAAATGCTGTGAAACTCAGATCCGATATGGGGGTTTTAACGAAAATAGGGTACCCCTAATATAGACCCCCAAATAGGCCCAAATAGTAGGGTTCCCTGATAGCACAGACCCCAATAAGGTACCCCCGAATATCGTAAACCCCAAGGTTTTCATGTCACTGCGCAGGGCCGGTCGTGATCTTCCCACTTAGGTCAAACAGCTGCTCGACCTGCTCCAGAACTGCCCACCCTCGCCGGACCAGTTGCAACGTGCTCGGATGAACGGAAGCCGGTGTGGGAGTGGTGTATGTGTGTTTTGGGTGTGAGTAAACGCTAAACCCTAAACCCTATAAACCCTTTTATGAAGAGTATCAATATGTGGCCGACAGTTTCGGCTGCTCTCATCCCCAGGATATGGCTGGCTAGAAATCCCAATGCAGGATAACTGAAACAGAGCCTACAGAAGGGTTCAATGGACCTTGCGAGTGCATTCTATACTTCCAGGGACCCTAATAATTGAGTCCTTAAGGGTTCTAGTAACCTAACTCTTAGGTCCCTATAGAAGTATAGGGTGCGTATTCATTGTACTAAACCTAGTAACTCTTAGGTCCCTAGAAGTATAGGGTGCATTCATTGTACTAAACCCCAAAATCTCAAATCCCAAGACATGTTGCTTCTTGGCCTTGCCTGACGCTGCCGACCACTGAGCCTTTGGCCACTTCCAGGCTTAGGGTTTAGGGTTTAGGGTTTAGGGTTTAGGGTTTAGGCTTCCATGGACCGCAGCCTGAAACTGCTCAAGTCTGCTGTCTGCAGGCATAGAACGCGCAGAAGTCAAGAGCAACTAGTTTTAGCCCAATCGTCCCTTAGAAAATTCAATGCTGAAGGGACAGAATCTGTCAGCAAAACAGACGTCTTCCAACAGTTCCGTTTGTTCAAGCCTGACTCACCTCTCATCATCGACATCTGTCGAGTCGAGCCGAAGAGCCCTTAGCAGACTTGTAGCAGATAAAATGGCTCCGGCGTTCAGTTTAATACTGCTTGAAGATGTATGCAGAGCATCTGCCCAGAGCATGTCAGAGCCATCCCTCAACGCAAAAATAAAATGGAGCTCTCAGCCCTCCAAGAAGTTGAAGCAGGGAGCCCTTGGCCCTAAACCCTAAACCCCAAACCCTAAACCCCAAACCCTAAACCCTAAACCCTAAACCCTAAACCCTAAACCCTAAACCCTAACCCTAAACCCTTGAAGATCAGCCCCCCAATAAGTTGAAGTAGGAAGCACTTGGCCCTTAACGAACCTTGGCCTGATGGCCGGGGCCTTACTCAAGCTGGAGGCTCGGTCCCTGAGCCCTTCACGTCAACCCTAAACCCTAAACCCTAAACCCTAAACCCAATGTCAGGCTGCTTGTGGCAACCTTCGCCTCCATTTATACCACCTTCATGTGCAGTGTCTTTAAGTGATACTCAGCACGAATGTGTTTCATGTCGGTCTGACTCTTCGAAGGCTGGTCGCATGAGTGTGCTGTCAAGTCTGGGAGAATGAGAAGTTGTCCCAGACGCGGTCTGTTTCCGTTGTCCCTGATTACTGTAGGGTTCAAGATGCCATCGAGTCTAAACGATGAGAGTCAAAACGTTCCGGTGGCAAGTTCAAGTTGTGCAAGGACTTTGTGTGCCCTCCACCCGAATTCCTGCACCCAGAAGTCCATGATCTAAAGGGTCAATCGCTGCAACCCAGATTCGACTCACCCTACAGCTGCAAGCGCTCTGCCGGCAGGCTCAAGCGCGGGAGCTCGCAGAGACGCCCTTGGGCCCCTTGGTTGAGCATATGCACAACAACCTGCAATTTATCCACAACAACCACAGCATCCACAACAACCACCCACCACCACCACCATCACCAGCACCACCACCACCACCACCACCGCAGCAGCAGCAGCAGCAGCAGCAGCAGCAGCAGCAGCAGCAGCAGCAGCAGCAGCAGCAGCAGCAGCAGCAGCAGCAGCAGCAGCAGCAGCAACAAAAGCGGAAACAAACCCTACAAAAAGAAGCAGCTCATCCACAAGTGTGAGATGGATTCGCGGCCTCCCGAAAACTGGTGAAAATGTAAAAACCCACGCTTGAGCTGTGAGCAATGGAGGTTTGCAGAACAAGCATTGGCCATCGCCATTCCGCGGGGCTTGACAGAGGTCTGCCGCTGGCGCCGCAGGGACGCAGGCATCTCTCTTTATCGACTTGGCACAGTAGGACTGCGTCGGCGGACAGCTCAACAGCAATATCAAGCATCAGCAGCGACGACCACAGCACTAAGAACAACGACACCAACCACGTCAACCACGGCAACAACAACAACGACAAAGACAACAGCACAAACTCACCGTCAACACCAGTATCGAGCATTCTAAGGAGAACAGCGATACCAACAGCAGGAACGCCAATTGCAATTGCGCTCGCAACATCAACAACCGTCGCCTGTGCGTCAATGCCGACTTCCCGTGTGGGTCGACATATCCTAAATACAGCGCAGTCCTCAATGAATCCTAAAGACCTACAAATGGGAACTTACGAAAATTGGGAGACCCCCAATATAGATCCCAAAATAGTAGGATCCCCTTATCATAAGGGCCCCAGTAAGGTACCCCTAATTTCGGACACCCCGACCCTAAACCCCCTATACCCTAAACCCTAAACCCCTAACCCCTGAACCCGAAACCCTAAATTCGGAACCCCCCAAATGGAAGAGCGAAGGTGCCGCGCTGCAGCAAGCTTTGGCAGCTGCACAACAGTGCTGGCAAGCCCAGGTGCCTTGGGAATTTCAGGGCCGCCCTAAACCCTAAACCCTAAACCCTAAACCCTGGTGTGAGAAGCCCCTGCGCAGGAGGATCCAGCTCGAAGCCACGATAACAAGAAGAAGGCAATCAAGGGATTAGGGTTTTGGGTTTAGGGTTTTGGGTTTAGGGCTTAGGGTTTAGGGTTTAGGGTGTCGGGAATTGGAACTCAAGTCTTGTGGCGCACGTTCAGAGTCTCATTTGATAATTTTGGGTTGCATGCTGAGCCATATCTTCGAATGCTATGCAGCATGCAATGCAGTGCTATGTTGTGGCGTGATAATAATGTATACATATACATTATGCTAAATGCATGTTTAGATGTCTTTATTGATTTGTTTTCTCTTTCATGTTTTTTTTTTTTTATGTTTGTTATGTTCTGGTCTTCTGTTCTATTCTACTTTGTATTCGGGCGCGCGGGTGCTGGTACGTGTGCGCGTGCGCGTGCGTGTATGTGTCGGTGCGCGTGCCTTTGTTTTTGTGCGCGCTCCTGTGCGTTTAGGCTGTGCTCTCTGTCAGATTGTGGCTGCGGACACCTGTGGACTATGTGTTGTCATACATGGCACTCCCACTACTTCGTTTTTTCGCTTGATGGCCGCTGTTATATCTTATGCTCGATGCACAACTACCTGCGACTTTGTCTGTCTGATTGTCTCTGTCTGTCCGTCTGTCTGTCTGTGTTCACAGTGTGTGTGTGTGTATATGTATGTGTATATTTATCTGTGTGTGTGTGTTTGTATGTATGTTTGTTTGCTTGATTGTTTGTCTGTGTTGTGTGTTTGTGTGTTTGTGTGTGTGTGTGTGTGTTTGTTCTTTGTTCTTGGCCGGTTGGCAAGGAAGCAAGGCTGTTGCACCAGGAGGTTCGAGCCAGCAATTCTCACTCTCGACCACAAGTTCTCAGGAGCTGCAGACGCTCTACGACCTCGCCTGGGCACGACTTCACACTGGCGTGGAAGGCGCTGCCGTTCAGCCCTGGCGCGAGGCCCATGGCCATGGGATTTTCCGTTCATCCCTTCAGAAGGTTGAGGAAGGTCCCCCAAACCAGAACAAAAGGTACGATTGCTTGAAGTCACGTTTGTGTTTGAGTGGACACCGCCCTTATTTTGCCATGTCCTCAACAGGGGTTGCGTGCCTGGACAGTCTTGGAAGGTCCTGGCGATTGCATCCTTGCTGCAGGGCCAGGCCCAGGTGCTCCAGAAGCCAGGTCGGACACAGCCGGGCTCGTTCCCTGAGGGGTAGTTTCGTGGTGTAGGGTTCAGGGTTTAGGGTTTAGGGTTTAAGATTTAGGGTTTAGGGTTTAGGGTTTAATATGGTCCCTAACTCTGAGGCACCTAAAGCGAAGCCCCCGAAAGCCCCACAAATCCTGGCATCGCGGATTAGACATAAGACGTGTATACATGTTTGACCTAGTCTTTATCCCCCTTGGGAATTATTTTTCTTTTTGTTTGTATAAAACCCAAGAGGATATTAAAAATATTATTTTGATTAAGGTTCAAAGGGGAGTATAAAAGGTATGATGCCAATGAACATGTTTGCCGAAGTACTGTAGCCGACAAGGCTTGGGGAAGGATGGACCCTTGTAGGCCCACAAGCCCAGCAAGCCGGAAGTACTATGGAAGCGAAGCTCGAGGAAGCAAGGGCCCATGCGAGCCCATTCCAAAGGGCCGCGGCCTGAGGAAATGTTGAGAACAACGCTCAAGAATTGCCCTCGCCCCGGGAGTCTTGCCAAGGTTTTGCGGAACTGAAATAATTAAGATGCGATTAGAGAACACGATGACTCTGACTAAGTTGTCGCGCAAGCAACGGTTGAATTGCTAAGCACACCCTGGCATGGGAGGTGAAGCGCTCCGGCTGGTGGACTTGGGCCCCTTCAGTGGCACTCAATGTCAGCGTTCTGTGTCTGCCCATGTCTGACTCGAATGACCGACGATGTGTCGTGCAGGTAAGAAACGTGAACGTTCTGTGAGATGCTTAAACGAGCCCGCCTTTGTGTAAAATCAACTTGTGCAGCCCATCAAAAAGAACGTAAACTTGACGCAGCAACCACAACTACTGTATCCCACTGCCCGCCAAACCTCCCAGCAATATCATGTCTCGAACTCACTGTATTCGGACATGTCCGACGCCACTCTGCTACCTCTTACAGCCTTGCCCCGGATGTCCGCTCCGACCCTCCCAAAACCAACACATCAGAAACCCTAGAGGTTGAACCTCAACAGCTCAGAGCCCCATCGCGGCAGCTCATGGGAACGCATGCTCCGAGGCCTCATCCTTGGCGGTCCTGAGAGCTTCGCCGCCCCGGAGCTCTTTGCCTTGGCAGAGCAGCTCGCAGCGGTGACCTGCTGCTTTTAACTTGGGGGGGTTGCAGGAAGTCGAAATTCGGCTTTGATCAACGCGCCAACAATCTGAACTCAAGATCCCGAACTGACCCAAGGAGCTGGCAGAGGACACTGATGCAGGCAGCCGTGATGCGAAACGTGCTCGCGCAGAGCCTCCCCCAGGCGCAGACACCTGCTGACGCACGCGTGCGAGCACGCACGCAGATTTACAGAAGCACAAATACAGAGACAAAGATGCACACATGCGCAAACGCAGGCGCGCAGCAGCACCATAGTGCCATACTACTTAAGGTAGCTTACAACTGACTTGATAGCCAGTGTCCCCCTTCTCCTATACCATTCCAACAATCGTTTACTTGCTTTTGGCCGGATGCCATGTTCCCCTACATGACAGCCACTCCGTGTTGTTCTCCTTGTCAGCATTGGCAGAGTCATTTCGATCTTTAGTTGTTCCACTGCGGTACGAGCGGGCGTGCATCAAACATCTACAAAGGCCAGTGCCTTGGGAAACGGCAACCTAAGCATAGACCTGCACACCCCAGGGTCTCCTGATGTTCCGGTTCGTTCAGGGTTTAGGGCCTTTAGGGTTTAAGTTTTATAAGGGTTTAGTGTAGACTCCTTCGCTGCTGCCTGCCGATTTGCAGGCAATCTGTTATCGGACATTTCGTCCGAGCTGCCGCACATACGTTGCCTGCCTGAGGAGGCTCTCAACCCAAAGCCCCGGACCCCTGGAACCCCAAAGTACTGTTCAGGGACTTTGGAAGGTTCTAAGGGCTTCTCCCACCTTGCTGGAGAGGCTTTGGAGCTTTGCGATGTTAGGTTGCGCACGGGAACCAACAAAAATGTCCCGATGATTCCTGAACACAAAGTCCGAAACTTAACGGCCTTAAATGCCCTAACCCAGCCTGATCTACCCTTACTCTTTCTTAGTCCTCGCACTTGCCATACTCGCCAAGTGGCAATGCAAGTTGCAATTGTAGAGTTGTAGGACTTCGGAGGGAACGTTGTGCTTCTACTCTTCCGGTCATGGCCCAAAGTACACACGCTCGGCCTGATCTGAAGCAGCGGTAGCAAAGCTCACAGAAACATGAGTGAGAGTTTCGGGTCCGTAGTCGTACCCGCGTTCGCCATAGTTCCAGGCCTCTTCTGGATCACCATGATGCAAACTGTCCCCGATAGCGATGCCAGAGCATTCTTGTGCGCAACGCCTTCCCCCCTCTTATTTTACATATTTATTCAACAGACCTTCTTTGACACCCCAGCCCAGTACCAACGATTCTTGCTTTTAAAGATCTATTGGCCAGAGCGATTTCTTTGGCGGAGAGAGGAGGTTTTAGTCTTAAAGGGGGGACAGATGAGGCTGTTCTGTAACATCCTTCGACATCGGCTGCAACCTCGCAGCATCAAAGTGCCTCCTTCAACCAAGCATCAACAGCTGCCCTCAACATTTGACTGTTTTCATCCATTCCCCCCAAGAGAAGCCAAGGTGCCCAATCGCACACTTAGGAAGCTACTCTCCTGTCATAGACCCGATGAGACCTACCAGCGCTTTGGCGGTCGGGTCCCGTCCCAAGCCGTGAAATGACGTGAAACGACGTGAAGTCGAAAGAAGCAAGAAACCCCCAAATACTTCATCTCTTCGCTACAACCTCAGTCACTTGGCTCAATTGCAACAAAGAAGCTGCAGCCATTCCCCCACCCCCCTCCCCCCGGCCGCAACATGCTCAACAAATTCACTTTGAAGCAAGAACACTCAAGTTCACGTCCTCTGCACTGCCAGTCCTTATGAACACTTCGAGCACATGTGCAAAACTCTGGCTGCCTGTAAGCAAAAGCTAGACACGCCAGGTGCCGGCACACCAATCACTTGGCTTGGCTGCTGAGCTGTATGTGTGCTTGTGTGTTTCTGTTTTGTCCGTGTGTTTTCAGGTTTTCAGGGTGAAGGCTGCAGGGCTGTATGTTCGTTTGCGAAGCTGGGGTAATTTAGGTTTGCAAGTCTGGGGGTAAATCGATTCCATTGCATTGTTTAGGATCGACCTAGTACGACATCACCTTGAAGCGAGGGCTGGGTTGTGGTGGCACCGATGGCACGCTGCCTTATGTGCTTCATGTGGCTTCCTTCAACTCGCTAAAACAGAGTGTGAAACTGAGGCAGTCAGCGTTTCTTCGTGTGCTGGTGTTAGCAGAGCCGGGACGCGTCCGGAAGAGCAGTAGGCCATATTTGAGAAGGTTGATGCCGTCGTGCAAACCTTGAACTGCACGACGATGCCGTTTCGTCGATCATGCCTATGGGCCCTGAGAACTTATACCGCCAAGGAACTCATCGACCTAAATCCCCTGACATGGACCTCGGGAGCTCTAGGTTCCTCAATGGCTGCCCCAAATCTCTAAGGAGCGCTTCCTTGTGGAGCACTTGGGGCCCCGCCGGCCACTGATCTGGCGCGGTGGCTGTGCTGACTGGCCTGCTACAAGGTGACGGGGGAGCCGAGGGTTCCGTTGGTGGGGGAGGTGTTGTGGTTCCTGCTTGCTGTTCGTTTCTCAGGATTCAGCATCATCGTGGTCTGCGCAACATGCCAACACGCTAAGTTATCACAACCAGTCGGAGCCGAAAGAGACCTTCGAGGGATAGGATGGGACAGAGGCACCCCAGAAATTATCCTTAACCCTGGTACTTGTGTGTACCTCATCTGCATGTTTTCCCAAGCCATGTGTCAATGGCTTAGATCATGCCCTGTGACTTTGTTGATGTTGTATTTGAAGACCTCGTGTTCCCGGGGTCATGTCAAGGCCGTGATTTTGGGGCTATCGTTGTTCATTTGGGGGGTCTACGAAAATAGCGACCCCCCAATTATAGACCCCACTGTAATGAGGACCCAATAAGGCAAACCCCCCACTTGCTGCTGCTCAAAGATGGTTTAGTCTCCGTGTGTGAGAGGAAATGGCCTCGCGTGGAATTCTGGTCGACCGGCTCTCTAGGCACCCCTCTGAACCGTGGTTTGTTGTGCATCTTGTTTCGTAGCATTAGAGCACTTGCTGTGAGGGTGCACGGCTGGTTTGAGGAGCTGGGTCCATGTCAGCTTGAAGGAGGCTGCTGTTTCCTGAACTGTGAACCCCATAGTGTTTGATTTGCAGCGAGGGCTGGTATAGGGGATGCGCAACTGCGCGTCATGCTCAAAGATGATCGAACCACGAGCTTGGAGTTTCAAGCAGCCTTCACGCTTCATGGCGCACCGATTTCCTGGCAGGATCCCAGCAAGTCGTGCGAAGCACAAGTGCGAACACACAAAAAAAAAACACATGCCATCAATCAAAAATGGAGTTTAGAAACCCCTTCAGCTGAAGTGTTGATTATCTTTCCTAAGAAGGCCTGGATTCCCAGATGGATTGGCTTGGACACAGCAAGACCGGGGGTTCCTGAAGTCTAGAGGGCTGCTTGCTACCAGTCTGCCAGTAAGCCGAAACCCTGATCTCATCAGCCCCGGGCCCAAAACCAGTGGGTTTAGGGTTTACGGTTTAGGGCTTAGGGCTTAGGGCCTAGGGCTTAGGGCTTAGGGCTTAGGGTTTAGGGCTTAGGGCTTAGGGCTCTTAGGGCTTAGTGATTGGGTTGCTTCCCATGCTGAAGTCCGCCAGCGGCACAGGCCAGCGATGGGTGCCGGTGGAGCCCCCTGCTTGCCTTAATGGCCTTACCAGGATGGGCGATTATACCCTATAATCCCGTAAAAGGCCCTTTATGGGGTTCATTTGGGGGGATTTTAAGGCCTGATAGCCCATCCTGGTAGACTTTCTTAGGGTTTCTGATTCTACTGCCTTCGGCGGCCTGGAACCCAGAAACTCCAAGTCCCTCCTTATGCCCCTTGTCCCCTAAACCCTAAACCCTAAACCCTAAACCCTAAACCCTAAACCCTAAATCCTAAACCCGTCAACAACTCCTGAAGCATCCTGAAGCCTTCAGCTCTCAGAGCTTGCTGAAGTTGAGCCAAGTCATGGAGAATCCTCGAGTCCACTATGTTCCCTCTTAGGGTTTAGGGTTTAGGGTTTAGGGTTTAGGGTTTAGGGTTTAGGGTTTAGGGTTTAGGGTTTAGGGTTTAGGGTTTAGTTCGCTCACAACTTGGGGCCAGAAAACAAAAGAAAACTGCCTGGGCCCTGCATCCGAGGATGGACTATTGGCTCGACGAGGGATTTCAACTCATGCAGCTGTCGGCCTTTGTGAAGCACTGCAAGGAGGCGTTCGGGTTTAGGGTTTAGGGTTTAGGGTTTAGGGTTTAGGGTTTAGGAGGGTTTAGGAGGGTTTAGGAGGGTTTAGGAGGGTTTAGGAGGGTTTAGGAGGGTTTAGGAGGGTTTAGGGTGGTTTAGGGTGGTTTAGGGTTTAGGGTTTAGGGTTTAGGGTTTAGGGTTTAGGGTTTAGGGTTTAGGGTTTAGGGTTTAGTATGCGCATCCGCTGCCACGATTTGGATAGGCTATGCAAAAATGGGGGGGGGGGGTTCCGACATTGGGGTGCTTTATTGGGGCCTCATTATAAGGGGATCCTACTCTTTGGGGTCTAGACTAGGGGTCCCTCAGTTTCGTAAACCCCCCCCCCCCCCCCCCATATTGCGCTTTCGTGGCCCTGCATCTTCCTGCACTGTGCGCTGCTCTTGCTCTGCAGTGTGTCTGTGGCCTTCGGGGAGAGTCGACAGCCTAGAGTCTTCCAAACTTAGGAGGTTCAGACGGGTTTGGGAAGAGGCTGCCCAAGTTTTGGAATCGGGGGGGGGGCTCTTCTGCAGGCAGAGTGAGCTTCATTAGCCACGAAGTTCCTCAAATCCTGAAGCTTTTTAACACCTCCTCCCCTCCAACGTAAACGACCCTCAACTCCACGAGCGAAGTGGAAGCCCGTATCCACCATCCTAGACGGCTTTGAGTTCGGCGGGTGCATAGTTGGGGTAGAAGTTGTTGACGTGCTTGCCAGGCCTTGAATTCAGACCCTGGGTTCGTTGCCCAGCCCCACTTTTCCCCGCAACGTCTCCGCCAGGATCTTTTCATAAGGCTTGAACCCTCCTACTTTCCCCCTCGTCGCAGAGCCCCCTAAGCACTACAGGCACTACATGTTAGAAGGTCAGAGGCTACAAGTCCCTAAACCCTAAACCCTAAACCCTAAACCCTAAACCCTAAACCCTAAACCCTAAACCCGACATAAACTGCAAAGCCAGGCTGAGCGCAGGCCTTCGCCCAAAGCAGGCCTCTCCGCAGGAGGCGACTTGGCAATGGATGGAAATCGCTTTCGTTTTAGGGTTTAGGGTTCAGGGTTTAGGGTTTAGGGTTGCTTTAGTATGCTGTTTTGCTGAAGCAGCACTTGCAGTACGCCCTCCCGGCAAGCTAGGAGTGAGTAAGCCCCCCGTCCCGCCACGACAGCAGAAGCGCGCGCACCCCAACGCGACCGCAACGTGAGGTCCCGTCAAACCAGCGAGTAAGTGAGCCGCCATCCCCGCCACGACGCCAAAAGAAAGCACCCCACCGCGACACCAAACACTTCAAAAGGAAGAGACAACAGTTATCAAAAGATGGTGTTGTAGCAGCTGATAGCAGCCGGAGTCCCTACATTCGCATGAAATTTTCCCAAAAACCTTATAAACCCTAAACCCTAAACCCTAAACCCTTAACGACTTCCCTCTCTGAGCCCCGGCACAGGTTTCCCAGAGAGCCTGTCCCTTCCACGAGCCGAGGCTACCTGGCCCAGCATGCTCTGTTTGAGCAGCTGCCACAGCTTGAGGCCAGGTAGTGAAGATGTTAGGGTTTAGGGTAGGGTTTAGGGTTTGGGGTTTGGGGTTTAGGGTTTGGGGTTGGGGTTTGGGGTTTAGGGTTTGGGGTTAAGGGTGGTGTACAATGAAACACAGTGACAGGCTGTGTTTTGAGAAGTGCTCCGGGTCTTTTGCGTGCGTATGCAATCCAATGCCCAAATTTTAGCGCCAAACCGTTCGCCAATTTTTGTCATCTTCCAGAACAGTACTTCCTAATTCGTTCAGAGAAGTAGCCGCGCAGAGCCACCATGCGCCTGCCCCCGGCCTTCCGAAGCGAAATTCTCACAAGTGGCACTGATTCTTCTCTTCAGGGTAGTTTCCAAGGTCGTTTCATAAGTTGCATTTAGTGGTTACTCAGAGGTTGTTTTATTTCAAATTTAAAGTTTTACGAATTGCATCCTCAGATATCTTCAACGCGAGAGGCCGACATTCTCACGCCAGATCTGGCTCTATGTGGCGAGGGCTCCCTGCTACGGCAGGCGCAGTGGCTTTGAAAGGCTATGAGTTTAGAAGTCGGGGTTCAGCGATTCCAGTTTTTAGTCTTGGCTCAGTTGCTTGCTACACGCATGGGGGTTCATGCCTGGCGCTGAGGACGAAAAAAATGTATATATATATATATATATTTATATTTTTATTTATATTATACAATATTATATTGGAATATATATATATATATGTATATGTATGGAGGCAACCCGTGTAGAGCCTGCAGCGAAGCCCCCCAGAAGCCTCGGAGCATTGCCATGGGGCCATGCCCATGCTCACCCTTGCTCACGTGCACACCGACACCCACACCAGGATGGGCCCTAAAATCCCCCAGATGAACCCTACAAAGGGCCTTCTAAGGGATTATAGGGTATAATAGCCCATCCTGGCAGAGTTACACAGTGAGATATCAACCCGTCCTGGCTTAGTAAAGGGCCCAGGTGGCCCAGGTGCGCATTTCGTTTTTTCACTGAGCCGTGAGGAGCCGAAGTCTTCTACAGTTGATCAGGCCACCCTCAACTCTAGGCCTAAACCCTAAACGGCCCTAAGCCCTAACCCTAAACCCGAAACCCTAAACCCTAAACCCTAAACCCTAAACTCTCCAGGCAGCCACTTGGCTCTCAGCTGCAGGTCTTCTTCGGCCCACGCGGCACGGTCACGCCAGTCCACTCGGACCCGTACGAGAACATCTTCTGCCAGGTGTGGTTTGCTTCTCATCTTTTTGCTCTGCATTTGCTTTGGAGGGTTCAAGGGTTCAAGGATATACAAGTGTGTACACTAACTTTCTTAGTATTCACAGAAAAGCAGCTTTTCAATAAACCATCCAGAGTCCTTCTAATATCAGTGTCTGCCTCCCCCCCAGGCAGTGGTTTGTCCAGAGGAGGGGGGAGGGCGGGGAGACAGAAGCTGCCGCAACAAACACTGCCTCGCGCCTCCCTGACACAGTTGAAGCATGTGTCCTCAACCGGAGCTGCAGCAACAATGGGCGCCGAAGGCGCCCTTGATGGCTTTCATGCCCGACCGGCCTTCGCGACCTCTTGCCTCGGAGTCACAACAACAGAGTGCTTGCAAGCCACCGGGGTCGACGCAGCTATCCGATTGCAGATAAACCGTAGCGACGCTGCCGCTTTCAGGGTTTGTAGGATGTCCCTGAGTCCCTGAACTCGTCCGAAGAAGCCTCTAAGGACGAAGTTTTGTATCTTCATCGAGTGTCGGAAAACTCTCCAGCACGCAGCTGCACCAAACCAGAGCTTTGCGGTGAAAGTCGCAGCCTTCTCTGGAGTGTGAAACCGGACAAGCTGCTGTTGCACAACTTCCCAATCTCAAGCATCTCTCAAGATCCTGAGTCACAGGACCTGTGCAGCAAGTGGGAGTGTCGGCTGGGATGGCAATCTTGCTAGGGCACTGGGGGCCATCAGGGATCCAGCGCTAACGGTGCCGTCTGAGTTTTGTGGGTGGACACTTGGCAGGATGCAAGGTCGAACTTCTCGAAGAAAGGCAGGACTCTAAAGGCTTCGTGCGACCCTCGTGTACAGGTGGTGGGGGCAAAGTACCTCCGCCTCTATGCTCCCGAGGACATCCGTGCTGCAGTTCTGCGCTGACACTCCTTGACTGCCTTGACTGTGTTTAAGGTTTAGGGTTTAGGGTTTAGGGTTTAGGGTCTAGGGTCTAGGGTTTAGGGTTTAGGGTTTAGGCCCAGGTTCTGGAGTTCAGGAGTTCAATCCGCCTGACCCGCAAACCGCGACTCAGAAGGCTACTAAGATCGAAGCAGCAGCTGGTCGCATGTCTTTCCCGTCATGCTGCTGGAAAGTTCTGAGTGCTGAAGGTTTTGATGTCTTCGGCCATCAGTATCAATCAAAGCATCACCTTGTTGTGGGCGAATCGTTGCAGATTTCAGGCTGTTGGTCTCACGGGCACAGCAATGCGCGTGGAGATAGATGAGCAAGAGAAGATTCCATATATTTGCGGCACTCGACAGTCTGCTTGGCTGGAAACTGCTTGCCAAGATCCAGTTCTTGTACTTTGAGCTGTCTTCAGAGGTCTAAATTATAAGAGAGAGAGAGAGAGGGTGTGTGTGTGTGTGCACGCAAGAGCACACAGGCAGTTGGATGACCGTTTCAAGCAGCCTCATCTCCCCTTGAAGCCACAAGACCAGCTTTCACAATGACGAAGCGAGCCCGTGCAGCCCATTGACAAGTGGTGAATACTTCATTCCAATAGCAAAACAGCCTACCCTAAACCCTATTGTAAACCCTAAACCCTAAACCCTAAACCCTAAACCCTAAACCCTATACGGGGGCAACCGAAAGGGAACAGGGAAAGAAACCAACCCTCAACAGTCGCCTATATAGATTTCCCAGATCGAACCAGAAACAAGAACACCCAACCCTAAGGGGGCAGGATAAGGGAGAAGGGACGGGACTACTCCAACCCGTTAAACCCAACCCCAAGCGTACGTACCTTTTCAACAAAAGCTGACGGCTCTTGGCCATCTTGAGCCAAACAAGATTTCCGGGTACATTGACCCTTCCAACACTCAACACTAACTCCTTTTTACAATACCAGTTGCAGCTCCGCACTCCCCCTGTCCTAGGATTTCCTAGGACACATTGGAGGTGCAGATCTTTGGCCAAGAACTGCCATTAGGGCAGCAGCCAGCTGCTTGAAATGCACAATATGGTTTTACGTCATCCAGGACGAAATTATAGCACATTGGCTAAACCCACTAACCACAGAGAATCTTTTTTCCACCATGATCCTCTTATCATTGAAGACTCTTCGGCCTTCTTCACCACAAACCGTGGTCTTCGCTACGCGAAAAACTACTGACTTCTACTATCAGGGATTTCCATACCCTTAATAGTAACCACCACATTTTCAGCGCATTGGCCGATCCAGCGCACCTGTCTCCAGAAAGAGAAAAACCATCCCTTCATCCATACCATCCAGTCACTTCTTTTTCCGATGGTTTGCAATACTGAGGTGAAGTTGCAGCAGAATATACTCTAGGTCCGAAACTGTAAGAACAGGATCCTGCACGCACCTTTGAATTGAGGATACCAATCCTTCTCTCTTTGCGTCCTCAATCGCTTGGCAAGATTGACCCAGCTCTGCATTCACAGTGGTAGACGCTTGCGCATCCACATCAGATGGACGATCCTTTTCCTCAGGACCTTTCACCACTACCACCTCTTCCTTTTTGGGGCTCTGACTTTTCTCCTTCTTCTTCGTCTTTCCACCGACGTTTGACTTTGTGCGCATTTTCGAGGCTTTTTCCCCTGCAGAAACCACCGCATTGGATGATGATCCACCCTTCTCAATGTTCGCCGGCATCTTCTTCGGCTTTGGAACCAGGAGAGTGTAAGGATCTTCGATAGCTGCAGTTTTCCTCTTCTTTTTGACCTTTTTCACCTCCTCCTCAACGGCAACCTCCGTCTCCGAAGTCTCAACCACCTCCTTTTCGGCAGGAATATCCTTGCTGGACTCCCTTTCTAGGGACCTCTTTTTGCCCCTTTTGGGATCTTTCTCTTCTCCCACGTTGGCTCGCTCGAACCATATCCTCAGGTCATTGACCCATTCTTCCACCTCCGCGAGCGAAACATCATACGACTTCACTACCTCGTGAAGTTCCAGCACGGACAGCATACCAGTGGTCCACGAAACCCATTCTCTATCCATCTGGTCAGTATCTCCATTGAACTTCAGGAGTTTGAACAGTGGGTCCGCCTCTGCTCGAGCCAAATCTGACTTGCCATTGGACAGAAATGAAATCGCCTCCATCAACAGTTCTGCCATTTTGGTATCGTCGTCATAAACCATAAAATCCTCCTCACCATCATCGAACTGTTCAGGAGAGATCTCCTTTTCTCCACCTTTTGCACCAGAACTTCTCCTTGGACCATCCCTTGGGGGCGTCCTTGGAGACCTTGGCCTCTGTTCATCCAGCGGATCACCATGCTCGAAGACACACCTGTCACCATAACGACACTTCCCAGACTGAGCAAACTGGATGCACCTCACACCAGTTGCATCATGCGAGAACGCACACTCCTTTCCAGCGAAGCAGGGTCTCCCCGCCACATAGTATTTGCACCAATACGAATGCAGCACCACATCATCTTCTGAATGGATGAATTTGCAGTCTTCACCAAATTTGCAGCGATCTTTTCCCCTGCTGAACCAATAGCAGAAGCCTTTCTTCCTCTTCTCCAAGCGCTCCGCCTCGTACCGGTCCATAGGGCGATTCTGCTCTACATGAACATTGCCATGTACCTGAGAACTGCTCCCTTCACCCAAGGTGCTATCAGTATTTGATGCTTGGAGTACAGCTGGAAAACCTGGCCTTGGTCCTACCACCTTCATGATTGGTTTTCCGCCAGCTCCTGAGCCATGCTGAGACGATCCAAAAACATTGAACATCTTCATGAAGGCCTTTCTAGTGCCGATCTTCTGCACCCTTTTGATTGGATGTTTCATTGCTCCAACCTTGCATCCAGATGCGTTCAAACGACACAACCTCCTATACCCAGCTCTATATCCCTTCTTCCAAAGAGCCATAAGAATTCTAGAGGCAGTAACATTCTCCACCTCTACCTTTTCCAACGGTCCCTCACTTCCCGGAACAAACCCATCCAACCCATCCATATCTGAAGACCTTTCCATCTTTTTTGACACCACTTCGTCGAGGTAGTCTTCCGAGATCCAGGGTAAGTTCCTCTTAGAGGAAGGATTGTCACCATTGTTTGGTCCTTCACCAGGATACCCCTTTGTGCTGTCAAAGATCTTACCAGTAGTGCGGTCCTGCGTAGAGAAATTGGAAGCAACGCGAGAGTACACTGACCACAAGAAAATCCTTGTGCCAGCCAGTCTTGACGACCCACTGGATGTCTCCTCTTCCGGAGAAACTTCTGGCGCTTTGCCATCCTTTCCAGTGTCACCAATTGTCTCACCTCCAGCATCTTCAATGGGAATAAGGGATTCATTGTTCCCTTGATCAAGTACCGCATCCTCCGGTCCCAGAACTTCCAGCACCGCTGTCGAAGGATCCACTTCTTCATCAGCATCGTCGTCCATCCTTTTCCAGAGAACCTCCAATTGATCAGCGCATGTCGCCGCCTGAAGGAACTCCATCAATTGGGCCTTCCCGCGCTGCCAGAGAAATTCCAAATTCACCACTGATCCTTGGCCTCCTAGGGTAAGGAACGGAGCAACCAATTTGGCTACCCTTGCCATAAGTTCGACGTGAACTTCCATGCCTGGACTGCGGCTCCAATCGTAGGCAATTGCCTCCATAGCAGTTCCAAACTTATCAGTATTTCTGAATTCCCCTTCCAGACCAGGAGATAGCAATGCACCCATCACCGAAAGAGGATAATTTCCCACCACCGGCAAGCACGGATTGTCATGGAACGAATGATGCAAATCACCATAGTGTCCTTGATCTCTCCTTTGAAAAAGGAGTGTCCCAGTCCCTAGCTGGGCATTCAATTCATCCACTTGAACCATTTCAGCACATATTCTCCGTGCCTCAGTTGCTATTGCTGGCCAGATGGTACGATCGGTCAGACCGCGACGCATAACCCAATCAGTTGTTGGCGACTGAATCAGCGTTCCTGGATCATACACCATAACCACCATCGCACCATCATCCATTGACTGATCAGCATCGTCCTCCAGTGCCAGGTTCAAATCCTGTTCGCTTGCACCCTCGGATGACATGCTAATAACCAAATTTCGATCCATCTTATTGGACCCCTTCTGACAGTCTCTTTGCCCCACAGGCAGCTTGCCAACAGCAACCTTCCAATAAATCCGAGTCAGAAGGCCTTTCACCAGCAATTGCTGAGGATCCTTCTTCACCGGACGAACATCCAATGTTTTCGCACCATCACCACGGAGTTCATTGCTCCCACCTTCTCCTTCTTTTTGGTCAGTCTCTTC